AAATATTAGCAGCTCACAACCCCAGCGAGCTCAATCACAAGGGAAGCTGGTGGGGGACAGAGTGAATTTTTTTTCTTTTTCAGTGAATGCGCTCTGTCCTGCTTGGTTGCTGATTATGCTGATCACATGACCCATTCAGGTTTCCTTTAGCCAAAGATGCTGCATTTCTCCTACCCCCTACTGAAGATAATGTTGGCTGTTTTCCTCTTCGCTTTCTTCCCCACCTTTATTTATTCCCTTTCTTGTCTTGTGCCAGGGTCATGATCTCCCTTCTCTAACATTTATACTGGCTCCTACACCTTTTTCCAGACACACTTCCCCTGGTGTGTAAGTGGATAGAAACCACTGGAATATTTTTTGAGACAGATGTTCTTCAGAATGTCTTTCTGTGCATGTATTTCCTCTTGCTTGAAGCCATTGACTCAGGCCAATGTTTCTGGTCAATGTTTGCCGGTAGATTCTACCATAAACATTCCTACAGGAGACAGAGAAGAGATGACAGGTGTGAGTGAAATGGAGTTAGAAGAAGAGAGGTGGGAGTGTGAAGACTGTTAACAACTCAAGGGCAAGAGTATATAAAAGAAGAAAAAATAAATAAAGAGGAAGAACCATGTGTGTTAATGTAGAGAATATTGGTAGTTTTTATCTTTCAGACTCCTGAGGAGAGATGGCCTTGGTAATTGTGAAAGAAATAAGAGGGGCAGTAGTTAACAGTAGACATTTTCACATTTGGTAATGGCTTTCAAAACCTAGGCTGATGTTCAGTCCACATACATTTATTTATTTATTTATTTAATTTATATCCCGCCTATCTAATCAATTAAGATTACTCTAGGCGGCTAATGGGTGCCAATCATGTGTATGAATTTTAACTCAACTGTTTACCTTTGCACTAGTGCCAAGGAATGAGGGGGTGGAGGAAGCGTTGCTCCCACAGGACAGCATTCCTGTGCGCAACGTGATCTGTGAGCACTTGTGTGGGTCTGTTTGTGACAAAGATGTCGGGTTAGGCGGACTTTACTGGCAGCCTTCTCTCTGACGTAAACATTTTTCAAAGCCTGCCAACAATCATCTGCTGAGTTCTTTCCTCAGACATGCATGAGCTGACTGTTCTCCAAGCACAAAATAAAACTAGATGACACCCTCACAATTAATTCCTACTCTTGTTCATCAGGGTCATCTGGTGGAGTTTCAGCAACAGTTCATATTTTGTCTCTTTTTGAAACCACCTCCATTTTTATGGCCCATGACTTGGAGTTCTTACCATTTAACTTTACTAGAGGATCTCCTCTCATTGCTGCTGAGTAAGATTGCAGCTTTGAACATTAAATTCATTTTCTTCTGTCTCTAGCCATCCTCTTACCTCTCCTGGGCTTGAAAGGCAGGAACGCTCACCTCCTCTGGGCCCCTGAGAGCTCCCAGGCTTTGCTCTCACAAACTTAGTTTTACATACAAATACACACAAACACAACACCACCATTTCCTGTGATTGCTACTCTCTGTTGGCAGCTGCCTCTCCCCCAAAAAGACAACCCCCACAGGATCTCCTGCTTTCTCCCAAGGAAAGCCACCTCCTGCCCAGGGAGAGAAACACGGGTGGGAAACCCTCCACTTGTATCAGTAGCCAGCATCTCTTCAAACCCTTCATGCCTTCTGAAGCCATGCAAAATGGAGAGACGCCGCCAACCGCCACCGCCACCACGGATCATGTCTTTTGTGCAATTTTAAGACACAATTTTAAACACGATAGAGTTGTTTCGATCTCTGAAAGAAAAGTGGTGAGCCCGTGTAAGTGATGCAAGCTTCAGGGTGCTGCAGGGCTCCTCCGCAGGGTCTCTGGATTCTCCTTACCTGACAGGTTGGCAGCTTTGGGAAGCCAGGTTCTTCCTGAGGCAGTGGGGGGCTGAACCCTGAGACGCAACCTGATAAGGAAATCTGGCCGAGCTTCATTTCTCTGTGGAGACGACAGCTAGGTTGCGATCCCCGAAAAGCTCCCCCAGGAAGCGAACGGCTTGTCTTCCCAGGGGTGGCTCCTCCTGGGCACCTCCCACCCAAAGGCCCTCCACCCACCCTCTGATTCTCTTGGGGGTGGCGGGAGGCGGAGGAACCCCAAACCCCATTGGAATCGTGCCCCACAACATCCTTCCTCCAGTTTTATGCCTTTTCGAAAGCCAGGGAGGTCCTGCAAGCACACAGAGCCCCTCTCCCCACCCCCTCAGTCTCTCTCTTTCACAGGCTGGGCTGGGCTCTGCTTTTTTCACCTCCAGAAAGAGAAAGGAAGTGAATCAGGGACTGAATCACATCCACTTCTCTCAGATATGAGGACGCAACATGTTTCAGGCATAAGGAAGAGGAGTGAAATTAGGTCCTCATCAGTTTTCCTTGGACACGAAAAACTGGGTTGTGACCTTAGAAAGCTCTGATGGGGAAACTGCTCTATTTTTTGGGGGGGGGAAGTCTGCGATCCTCAAGTTTCTGCTGCCTCTGAAAGGGCGGCTCCATCCCCTGGGGGGGGAAGCCCCCCACTAAATGTGGCACCTGCAATAATCAATCAATCAATCCACATCTCCGGTCTGTGACACCTCTTTCTGAGTGTCAAGGCAAAAAAAAAATGCATTGAGCAGCTTCCAGAGGGGGTTTCTTGGTCTGGGTGCAAAATATGCAAAGGAATGCCCAGTGTGCCCACCCCTCGCACAAAAATACACAGCAGTGCAAGGGATCTTTAGGAGGGGGGGTAGACTTTCCCAGCAGCAAAAGGGGGCCCCGTTGGTCCCCCATCTGGATCCGCTTTCCTAGTGAACTGGGACCAGCCGAGGAGGGAGAAGCCCCCTTCAATCAATAAGGAAAATGCCTGCTGGCAGTGTCCTCGGCTTCCTTTGTAAATCAGTGAAATCACTTGGAAAGGCCTCTGGTGCTGGGAATTTCCTGTCCTCCCACCTGAAGGAGGCAGAAAAAGGAAGGAAGGAAGGGAGAAAAGCAGCGCCCTTGAAGGAGATCCAGGCCTCTGACCTCCTGGCACAGAGCGCAACACTCCCCAACCAAAATAGACCCTCACAATGGCTGGGGAATTTCTTTAGGAACACTGATCACATCACACATGGAAATGCTGTCCTTTGGGAGCTACACTTCACCCTCCCCCCTCTCATTCCTTGGCACTAGTGCAAAGATAAACAGCTGAGATAAACATTTACGCGCATGATGTACACCCATTTATATGGATGCAATATCAGCCCAGGTTTCTTAAGCCATTACCGAATGTAAAAACATCTACTGTTAACTACTGCCCCTCTTATTTTGTTCATTATTTCCAGGGCCGTATCTCATCACATGTCTGAAAGGTGATAACGGTCAATGTTTTCTCCATTTTCACTGAACTGACACCATATTTCCAGGAAGACCCTGCAGGAATTCTAGCGCTAGACCCACCCATGCTAGGTATTCAGTGAAATGAGGGCTGGAACCCCTGAAGTCTAGATGTTCTGTGCTCTCCTGAGAAACTGGATATGGAACGTATCCAGCTTCCTCTCCTGCCGTGCACAAAAGGGTCCAGGACTCACTGCAGTACAGGAATGTGCTCAGGACACAGGCTCTACAGACCTGGATCTTGGTATGTGCTGTCAGCTTCTTATTAAGCCATATTCTCTTTGTGAGTCTAGAGAACGTAATTATACATTTCTTGCTGTTTGTTGTTTAGTCAAGTTGTGTCTGACTCTACGTGACCCCCATGGACCAGAGCACGCCAGGCCTTTCTGCCTTCCACTATATTATGCTGCAGTAAAACACTGAGAGTAGCACTAAGCATTTTAAACAACTGACAGGTAAATATTGTGCCAGTGTTTTATCTTTCATGCCTCTTATATCC